GCCAAGTTGCTGAGGCTGGCCTTGAACTTGTGATCTTCCTGCCTCAGTCTTCCAACTTACTGAGATTACAGGCATGTACCACTATATTCAGCCAGGGACATTTATAAATCAAAGTTTATTCTATCTCCCTTTTCTGGAACTAGTCTGGCTCTGGGGTCCCTGTGTAAGGGCAGGAGCAGGGTGAACTGGGCTACTCTCTGAAACCCCTTCTTCATTGCCTCTGCCAGAGCCGGCCAGGCCACAACGTGAACGTGGACGTGGACGCACTCCCTGGCTACTGTGGCCCCAGCCCCGCCTGACAGGATGAGCAGCTCAGATGCGGGGCTGGAGGAGGAGCCAGAGCTTAGCATCACCCTCACACTGCGGATGCTGATGCACGGGAAGGTGAGTGGGTGGGGCTGCCAAGGCTTGGGACTGTTGGAGGCAAGGCAGGGCAAAGCTGGGCCAAAGCAAATTTGATCTCAGGAATTTTGTCTTCTGTGGATCCCCTATCTGAGGGAGGGGAGGAATCATCCTTGAGACATTGGTGTCCATCTAACTGTATTCTTTTCCACATCCTTTWAAAAAAAATATTTTAGAGAGAGAGTCTAAGTTGCTTAGGGCCTCGCTAAAACGCTGAGGCTGACTTTGAACTCATGAACCTCCTGCTTCAGCTTCCCAAGCCAGTGTGATTACATGCGTGTGCCACTGTGCCTGGCTAACTATATTTTTGTCTTGTTTGCAGGAGGTGGGCAGCATAATTGGGAAGGTAGGTGCCTAGTTCTGCTCTTTACATCCTTTTCAACCTGAGGCCTCAGCCCAGGGTAGGAGGCCATGACCACTCTGGCTAAGAGCAATTCTCTTGCTTTGTCTCCCACAGAAGGGCGAGACTGTAAAGCGAATCCGGGAACAGGTGAGGATGGAGTTTGGGGGAGGAATACAGGGTACTTGATATGGAAGGGAGGGGAGACCCCTGTCCCATCTTCTCCCTGAACCATTCCATCTGCAATGACCAGTGAGTGCCTGAGAGGGTGGTGGCCTCCAGGCTTGGCTGGGGCCTGGTGACTTGGACGGGCAGAAAGACTCCTGGTCCCAGAGTGGGGAAGGTCACCTGCTGCCCAGCATTTGTCCTGTACCCGCAGAGCAGTGCCCGGATCACCATCTCTGAGGGCTCGTGCCCTGAACGCATCACCACCATCACTGGGTCTACAGCAGCTGTCTTCCATGCAGTCTCCATGATTGCTTTTAAGCTGGATGAGGTCTGTGGATGGCTGGGTGGGAGTCCAAGGGTGGTTCCCTGGGAGAAACTTGACTCCTACTCAAGATAGTAGCAATGAATGGGAGGGAAGGTCAAGCCCAGGGCAGTGTTCCCTTGGAGGAGGACTGGGGAGGGTTACCTCCTTATGCCTCAGCAGAACAGGGCGTGATGAGGGTTGGAAGGAGGAGTGGGAGTGTGTGTGGCCAATCCACCATCTCCCTGCTCCAGGACCTTTGTGCTGCTCCTKCAAATGGTGGCAATGTCTCCAGACCTCCGGTGACCCTGCGCCTTGTCATCCCTGCCAGCCAGTGTGGCTCACTGATTGGGAAGGCTGGCACCAAGATCAAGGAAATCCGAGAGGTGAGGGAAGAAGGATGCCACCTAGAGGGAGACCCCACCTGTTAATAGTGAGAGGGGAGCTGGGCTTATGGTTTCAGACCCTCCGGGGAGCCCTGAGGCTGGGCAGCYCTTCTCTGGGCTCTCCGAGTAGCCAGACATAGCCCCTGCTTTCTATTTGCAGACCACAGGTGCCCAAGTGCAAGTGGCAGGGGATCTGCTCCCCAATTCCACAGAGCGTGCTGTCACTGTGTCCGGGGTGCCTGATGCCATCATTCTGTGTGTGCGCCAGATCTGCGCTGTCATCCTGGAGGTGCTGCCTGTGATCAGGGAGGGGGGCAGGAGATGGGCCCTGGGCCTTCTTTGTCTGGCAGCCCAAAGCCTATGCCCATGACACCAGATGGGGCAGGGCAGGGCTTCAGGGATGGAGTCTGAGCTCCAGAGTGTAGGAATGCATTTATCTGGGGGTCACGGGGGGGAGGGCCTTGAGGCCACTGGGCATTTAGAGAGAGAACCGGGGCCTGAGAGGATTCTGACAGAGTCTCCCATTTGTGCCTTCTAGTCCCCACCCAAAGGAGCCACTATCCCCTATCATCCGAGCCTCTCTCTAGGTACTGTCCTTCTCTCTGCCAACCAGGTAAGGGGAACAGCGGGAGGGACAGGAAGAATTACCRAAGAAGGGGAATCAAGATGGAGGGAGGGGGTGGAAAAGGGAATTGGGTATCTGAGGAGATGGGGAGGGGTGGTCCTGCCCAGCTGCCCTGGCTTGTCACAGTAACCACCTTTTAACATCACTTTGTCCCCTCAGGGCTTTTCTGTCCAGGGTCAGTATGGAGCTGTGACTCCTGCTGAGGTAAGTGACCTACAGCCCAAGCACGCCTTCCTAAATCAAGCCTCCTCTAACCTCTGACCCCTCTTTTTTGGCACAGGTCACCAAGCTCCAGCAGCTCTCGGGCCATGCAGTCCCCTTTGCCTCACCCAGTGTGGTGCCAGGTAAGCAGCCTCTGCAGAAGGAGGCAGGGGCAGATCCCTTGAGGTGAGGCAGCCCCCTAGAATGGAAATGGGGGCCCTGAGAGACCTAGAACCACATTCAGTCTCTCTTCTCCACCTTAGGACTGGATCCTGGCGCACAGACCAGCTCACAGGAGTTCTTGGTTCCCAATGACGTGAGCAGGGGATGGGGTGGCTGGAGGATGGGTAAAGGATCTGGGAATCCGACCTTTGCCCAGGGTTAAATTCTGCCTCTTCCTTCCTTAGCTGATTGGCTGCGTGATTGGGCGTCAGGGCAGCAAGATCAGTGAGATCCGGCAGATGTCAGGGGCACACATCAAGATAGGGAACCAAGCTGAGGGTGCTGGTGAGCGGCACGTGACCATCACTGGCTCGCCAGTCTCTATCGCCTTGGCTCAGTACCTCATCACTGCCTGGTGAGCATGGGGTGGGCGGCAGTGGGGTGATTGTAGGTGGGGAGGGGAGAGCCGACCCCCTTTCCTTCTGGACTGATCCTCTGCCTTCCCTACATCCTTCCCTTTCCTCATGGTATTCTACCTAAGTCACCCATGTTGCCTCATCTTTTTCCTCTGTACCCATCTCTCATATCCTTTTTCTCCACTGCTCTTTTCCCTGGACCTTTGGTCACCCCATTTCTGCTCTCTCCCCATACTATATCTGCTTGTCCTTTCTGCCCTTCTCACCTTTCCACCTTGCCCATCTTCCTCCCAAACACATTCAACCTGTCTCTTCTCTCCTGTCCTTTGGCTAATCTAATGCCATAATCTGCCCTCATTACTCCTGTCTCATTTCCACTTTCCCTTCATCTCCCCTCTATATCCCTCTTTCCAGTCTAGAGACGGCCAAGTCTACCTCTGGGGGGACGCCTGGCTCAGCCCCCGCAGACCTGCCCGCCCCCTTCTCGCCGCCCCTGACGGCCCTGCCCACAGCTCCCCCAGGCCTGCTGGGCACACCCTATGCCATCTCCCTCTCCAACTTCATCGGTCTCAAGCCTGTGCCCTTCTTGGCTCTACCACCTGCTTCCCCAGGGCCACCCCCGGGTTTGGCAGCCTACACTGCCAAGATGGCAGCGGCCAATGGGAGCAAGAAAGCTGAGCGGCAGAAATTCTCCCCCTACTGAGGCCAGCTGAGGCACAGGCGGGGGCAGGCAGGACCACAGGCAGGGGGCTGCCTCCGCATCCTACCTGCCCATGGAGACTCCACCCTGGGGTCCCAAACACCCCTAATGCCAGACGCATGGATGCACCCCCTACCCTGCCCTGGTCTTTGGAGTTCCCCCTCTTGGAGAGGGGGCAGTTTCTGGCCCAGGGTTCTGGGAGCTATGACAGCCCCAGGACAGGAGGCAGTACCCCTTCAGCTCTGTGCTTGGATTCAGGAAGCAGCCAGGGGCCTCCCTAGTGCTCCACCAGGGAGGGTGGTCACCCATGTACTCTCAACCCTTAGGGCTTCCTGGCCTACTGCCCCACTATAGGAATCAGGGAGGAGGGCTGAGGGTCCGCTGGGGCCATGTTTCTCTCCACCTCCCTGCAGATTCCTGCTGCTTCCACTGATCTTCTTTTGACTGGAATGGACTGGTTGGGCTTGTCAGGGGGCAACCCAAAGAGGCGACTCTGCCGGGTAGCTGGGGGAGTGGCCTGGGGGCAGGGGCCCAGTTCTCAGCAGCAGACACTCTGTACAGTTTTTTCAATCCCTGTTTTTGAATAAATATTCTCAGCGACCAGAAAGCTCTGAAATATTGGTGTTGGGGTGGCAAAACCTCCAGAAAATGGGTATAGCTGAARCCCCAGAGGACCTCCCATCTGTGAATCCACCAGCCCCAGTTGGGCCACAGCCCCTTTCACATGCCAGTTCTGGGATTCCAAGACTCTTTGGTGTGGGTCATGTTGTCCAGCCTTGCTATGAGCACCGAATTGATCCAGTTGTTCTCTGGGCATTTTAGAAGCAGCTAGAAGAGTTTCAGTGGCTCTGTCCAGACTTCTTGCTGCACACATCAGGGCAGTCCTAAGTTTCTCTATTGGTTTCTTTTGCTGTGGATGTAACTTACACCTGCCCTGTTTGGTCCATCACTTTGGCTGGAAGCCCTTAGGATTCTCATCTTTGTGACCCTGCCCACTCTCTCTCCTCCCTGGACCTGGAGATATCCATGAATCCCACAGCCTACAGTGGAGGGCGCCTTAGAAATGGTACAGGGTACAAAAGGGAAAACTGAAGCCTTAGGGAGGGTAGGTTTGGGCATAAGGCCATGCAATGTTGGGTCCCAACCCAGGATTCCAGAGAAGCCTCTGGGCCTTGCCAAACTGTAGACAATCTTTTCTTCATGTACCAGAGCTGAAAGTCCAAGCAAGGCACCTGCTTTGACCTGTGCAGGGGGCTGGATGGGCCCCCTCTAATCCTATTCTTTCTCCAGCTTAGGAGAGTTCTCAGGTGGCCTCTGGCATGCTTGGACTCTGTCCTCCTGCCAATTCCCTGGCAGGATCTGGTGCCTCAGAAGGGCCTAGGGCAGGGCCCTGTGGGGATCCCTGGAGACGCTGCAAGAGTGCCCGCGGTTGCCAGGCATGCGAAGTGCAGGTTCCAGGCGTCCGGGGCAACGCACAGCGGGTGAGGCGACCCAGTGTCAAACGGATGGGGCGCTGCAGCAGGCCATACAGAAAGGGGTGTGCCGCGAAGGCCGAGTAGGCTACCCAGGTGACAGCCGCCTCAGCCTCTGCGGCCCGCGCCGCAGGCGCCAGGCACGCGCAACCATAAGGCAGCCAGCAGGCTGCAAATTGGCCCACGGCCAACGCCGGGGCTAGGGCCGCCTTGCCCCCAGGCAGGCGAGGCCGGAGGGGTGGCAAGAAGGAGAGGCGGCTGTCCAGAGAGTCAGAGCGCAGCCGGGACATGCGCGCGGGTCTCGGGGGCCTCAGGGCTGCGCGGCGGGCCACAAGAAAGATGCTGCTGTAGGCGCCAAGCAGCAGGAGCGCTGGCAGCGCGAAGGCCAGCAGCGCCCAGAGCGGCCGGAAGGGCCCGAGGCCACCGACCAGGACCGAGCAGCGAGCTGGGGCAGGGGGCGGTGCGGGAGGCGGCCCGAGGAGGGAGAGCGCCCCCAGAAGCCCGGCTACCGCCCACACGGCGGTAAGGACAAGCCCCGGCGGCGGCCACACGCCTGGCCGCAGCGGGTGCACTATGAAGCGGTAGCGTGCTAGGCCGAGCGCGGCCACACCGAGCGTGCAGGCTGGCAGCAGCGCTGCGGAGAGGAAGCGCGCAGCGCGGCAGGGCTCAGGCCCCAGGCGCACGCGGCCCAGCCCGGGCGGTGGTGCGGCCAGCAGGCCGAGCGGCATGATGGAAGCGGCTGCCAGCAGGTCCACGATGCACAGGTGCACCAGGTAGAGCGCGTCTTGTAGTCCTGGAGTGCGCAGCACCACGACCAGCAGCGCAGCGTTGCCCAGCAGTGCCCCCGCCTCCACGAGAACCGCCAGGATCAAACCCACCGAACCTGCGATTTCTGTGGCGTTCAGCCCTGTGGTGTTGGCCATTTGAGCGCTCAGGCTTCACCTGCGTTGGTATGCGGAGAGCAAACTCGAGCCTCCAGCTCCAGGATTCCCATCACCTGTCCCTTCTTTGCTCCTCCGGCCCCTCACTTCATAGGCCGYCCAGGAGGTGGCCTCGACGCCCAGGCTGCCATCCTCTTGGGGGCTTGGCCGGYCTCATGGAGGGGTGCAAGGCTAAATCGGCCGGCTCTCTCCCCCTGCCCCAGCCCAGATCCAGCAACTCAGCTTCTGTCGGAGATGGTACTGGCTGTCACTCTGATGTTGCACTTTGGAGACACAGAGCTGACAAGGGAGGGGCAGGGCCTGGTGCCAGCCCCCTGGGTCCTAGCAGCTGCCAGCTGGAGGCTGGAGGCTCTGCTGTGAAAGCGCCTGAGGGTGCCTGTTGGGGCGGGTATGGGGGAGGCACAGCAGGTGTGTAGATTTGGAGGCAACCAGACTCTGTTCTGCCTTTCCCAGGGATGGGAAGTGGGGGTAATCAGATCAGTTGATCCATCCAAAGAAACTGAGGTACCAGTCAGAAAAACGGGAGTAGGAAGACTCTTATGTATGCTTTAGTTCCTGGAAGGGCTAGTTCTCTCAGAAAGCATGTTGGAAAAGTCCCAGGGTATAGTATGTAGTAGGTGCTCAGGTAATAGGATCTTGGTATAGAATAGGTGCTCCATGACGTTGAGTGGAATAAATGAGAGGAGGCCTTGGCAGGCAACTGCTGGTTGTTTTTTGAGTGATATTAAGTAAATCTTGAGCTCTACTTAATTTTTCACAATGATATGGGGATAGAAATCCTGCAATTACCTTTTATATGGGATAGGGCAAATGAGAAAATATATTGATATTGATGGAATCCCAGGWTCTTACTGTTTGAGATGGGAGGAAATATGGAGTTGGGGAAGAATGGATGGACTCAGTTACTAAATTGGGATTGAGGGCTGAGGATACAGCTCAGTTGGTAGAGTGCTTGCCTTGCATGCATAAGGCCCGGGGTTCAATCCCCAGCACCACACACACATACACACACACACACAGAGAAAAAAAAAAAAACTAAATTGAAATTGGAAAAATAGATATTTTGTAAGTTCTGAGCCATGTTTGCCAAAAGGACTTAAAAGCAATGACACCCCAGTATCAAGGAGCACATTTATTTCCCAGGTCTTCAATTCTAAACACCACTGCCTGCTCCAGAGAGCCAAGTCTCCTTGGAGAAATGGCTAATTCCAGATTTGTACAAGATGAACCTGGAACATCCTGTGATGCTAGAAAGTAAGGAAATGCTCAAAAGATGACAGGGGGACGCAAGGGAACTTCTGACCAAATCTGGACAATTTGAAAATCAAAATAAATAATGATAGTAATGGATTAAAAGCCATTGSATAAAATAAGAATCCATGAATCTGTACTAATAAGGAAAGAAAGAGCCAGACATGGTAATATCACCTGTAATTCCAGTTCTTAGGAGGACCAAGCAGGAGGATCAAAAATTTGAGACCAGCAAGAGTAACTTTAATGAGACCCTTTTCTTTCTTCCTTCTCCCTCTACTTCCCCTTCCCCTCTTCTTCCTCCCTCCTTCCCTCCCTCCTTTTTTCCCTTCCTTTCTTCTTTCTTGAACCCAGGGGTGCTTAACCACTGAGCCACATCCCCAGTCCTTTTTATATTTTTTTTTAAATTAAAAAAAGTTTTTTTGTAGTTGTAAATGGATCAAATGCATTTGTTTATTTTTATTTTAAAAAAAWTTTTAGTTGTAGTTGGACAACAAGATCTTTATTTATTTTTATATGGTGCTGAGGATCGAACCCAGTGGCTCACACGTGYGAGGCAGGTGCTCTACCATTGAGCTATAGCCCTAGCCCTTGTTTATTTTTATTTTTATGTGGTGCTGAGGATTGAACCCAGTGCCTCACACTCTGGCAATCGCTCTGCCACTGAGCTATAAGCCCCAGCCCCTTTTTAAAATTTTGAGGCAGGATTTCAATAAATTGGCTGCAGAAGCTGGCTTTGAACTCGAAATCCTCCTCCCTCAGCCTCCTGAGCTGCTGGGCTTATAAGCATGTGCCTCCMCACCCAGTTTAGTGAGACACTTTTTAAGATAAAACATTTTTAAAAGGGATGGGAGCCTGGGCATGCCTGTAATCCCAGAAGCTAGGGAGGCTGAGGCAGGAGGAGTGCAGTTCAAAGTCAGCTTCAGCAATTTAGCAAGGCACTAAGCAATTTAGCAAGACCCTGTCTCTAAATAAATTATAAAAAAGGGCTGGGGAAGTGGCTCAGTGGTCAAGTGGTTAAGTGCCCCTGGATTCAATCCCTGGTACAAAAAAAAGGGGTGGGGTGGGGGGTAGGGAAGTAGCTCTATGGTAGAATGTCAGTAGACTGAATTCCTAGTACTGCCAAAAGAAATTTAAAATGAAAAAGGAAAAATGGAAAGGAGAAAATAAGTATAAAATAAACAATGGAGCTCAGTAACTTCTATTTGTAACCATCTTAGTAAAAATTGAGTCAGGTGATTGAGTTCAAGTAMATATTATTGATGGATGCTGAAGTTTGTGGGTGATAGTTGAGGAGGAATGGGTATTTATAGCTCACATTTCCCCAAAGATGACTGGCTAATTACAAAGGGCATAAGTGGCAGTGTTACAGTGGAGAAACTTGGTGGATATGCCTCAATGAAGTGATTAAATTTAATTAATGTCTCCAAGAAAAGGACATGTCCCTCCTGATATAATTCTCAGAAGGCACATCATTTTATGTAGTTTCCTGCCCATGAAATACCTGAATCTWCTAAGGACAAAACTCCAGAGAAACTCAAATGAAGATATATTATATGAAACATCTTGTCTACACTCTTTGAGACTGTCAATAATGTCAGTTATGAAAGAAAAATAGGACTGAGGAAAAACTTTGGATTAATGGACACTAAAAGAGACACAAGAAGGCACTGGTGCATACCTGTAATCCCAGTGACTTGGGAGGCTGAGACAGGAGGATCCCAAGTTCAAAGCCAGCCTCAGCAACGGTGAGGTGCTAAGCAACTCAGACCCTGCCTCTAAGTAAAATTCAAAATAGGGGTTGAGTACCCCTGTGTTTAATCCCCGGTACCAAAAATAAAAAATAAAAATAGTAACAAAATAAAGAGACATAAGAGTTGAATACAGGCATGACTCTAGACTGGGTTCTGACCTGCTCTCCAGCACCAGTATCACCTAGGGGTAGGGTCACCTGGAGTGATAACTGCTATTGCTTTCATGATTACAGAGCTATTCCCCTCCAACAGATGCATAACTTGTTTGTAATATCCAGAGATGAGACACACTAGGACATCTGATGCTAAGACATGAAGAATGCTTGATTCACCTGGCAATGTCTAGGGTAAAAGTCGGAATCACAAGGTGGGTCCCTGAATGATAAACAATTTAGTTAGTGGTGAGGGTCCTTTTTGGAGACTCAATGATTAGAGGAGACAGAGTGTTTCAGTGTGGCCCTTGGGTGGGTTGGGATAAGTGTATGACCCATGTTAGCCCATGTGAGTGCCCACTCCTTGGAGTAGAACTAGAGCTGCCATGTGCTGGTTCACCACAGAGAAAAAGGAGGCCCAGGCCTGGAAAATTGTGGCACAAACAAGCAGAGTCCAGAGGTTCATGTTTAATAAACTTGCCTGTGAACATCAGAATTTTAGCATATTGTGAGGAACACACCTATCAGATGTATAGACTAGGCCAGTGTGGATAGCCCTGGTGTGTGTGGAATCTGGCCCACTCTCAGCCTGTGTCCCTCTAGCCACATAGCCTTCAATGGGCTGCTGCATTTGGGTCCCAGTAATGAATCCATCCCTACCCCTGCCTTGCCCATCACATTAGGAGGAAAAACTTGGGTCACAGCCATACTAAGGCTAACAGGGATTAGAGGAAAGGGGGTTCACTTTCTGGGACACAGGAGGGCCTGACAAGAAAGGGTGATTGAAGTAGTGGGCAATCTCACTAGTCCAAAGGAAATGAAATCAGTATGAACAGATGTCTGCATGCTTATGTTTATTGCAGTATTATTCACAATAGTCAAGATAAGGAACCAACCCAAGTTGTCCATCAGTGGATGAATGAGCAAATAAAATGTGATATATATATAACAGGATACTATTCTGCCTTAAAAAAAAGAGAAGGAAACCCTGTCATTTGCTACAACATGGATGAATTTGGAGGATGTGAAGCTAAGTGAGATAAGTCAGGCACAGAAAGATAAATGCCATGTGATCTAACTTACATATGGAATCTAAAAAAATTGAACTCATAGAAGTCAAAAGCTGGAGGGAAGTGAGGTTGGAAAGATGTGAGTCAAAGGATACAAAATTCACCTAGGAGGAATCAGTTCAAGAGATTGACTATAAAATCTATTATATAGGTACTGACAACGTATAGTCATTTTTTGCTTAATGATGAGGATATGTACTCAGAAACACATCATTAGGCGATTTTGTGATTGTGTGATTATTATGAGTGTGCTTATATAAACTAAGATGGCTACAATGTCACTAGGCAATATAATCTTATGGGGCCATTACAGTATATGCAATTCACTGTTGACCAGAACATTATTATAGGGAACATGACTGTACTGTATTTTTTTTAAAGAGAGAGAGAGAATTTTTTTAATATTTAGTTTTTAGTTTTTGGTGGACACAACATCTTTATTTTATTTTTATGTGGTGCTGAGGAACCCTGYGCTCTGTGCATGCCAGGCGAGTGTGCTACCGCTTGAGCCAGCCCCTGTACTGTATTTTTTTTTTTTTGCGGGGGAGGGGTGCAGGTCTCATTATGTTGCCCAGGCTGGCCTTGCACCCCTGGCTTCAAGCCATCCTCCTGCTTTAGCCTCCTGAGTAGCTGGAACTACAGGCCAGTGGGCCAGGCATGAATTATATTCTTGGGGGCTGTCGAGAAGGGGTGATATGGAGGTACCAGAGATGGGAGGAAGATTTAAGATCATGGTCCAGCCCCTAGCAGGACCTGATAGACAGGGCAGGCAGCTCAGAGGTGAACTTCCAGCAGATAGCGTAGACGACACTGGCTCTCCTGGTAGATAAGGTACTCGCTCTGGCTAAAGTGGGAGCTGCTGAACTCTGGGCATTGCAGGGGCGGGCCCTGGGGCACTGCCACTTGCTGGCCATCCAGCTCCAGCTCAGTGTCCTGGGTTGGATCTGCGAGGCACAGAAGGGCTCATGGGTAACCCAGGGGTCACTGGCCCCTGGCCTTACCAGTTTGTCCTGTCCCCTACACTCCCCACTTTTGATACAGGGAAAACTCTGCTCATTCCCCTTGTACCCACCTCCAAGCCACTGTACAGGCTGGACTTTCTGCCTGGAATATCCTCCCCCATTTCTCTCTGGGAAACTCCTACTCCTACCTACTTCAATGCTCACTTTTTAAAGCCCTCTCAGATGCCCAGGAAGATCTGTTGACAGTTGTTGGATAACTAAGTTAAGGACTCCAGTGAAGGAGGCTTCTTCTTTTTGTCCCTCTCCATAGTTCCCTCCTCCCTAAGTTCACTCCCTCCCTGAGTGCCCCATCTCAGCCCCTCCCCTATCCTCAGGCCTCTCTATTTTCCCAGGTGTGTGTGTGGGGGCTCACCAGGCTCTGTGTGGCCTCGGGCAATGACACTGTGGAAGCCAGTGGGTGGACACGTCAAGCTGGGATCATCGATGGTGATGTGGTACTCTTTACCCAGGGCCACCTCGCCCAGGAACATATAGCCCACTTGTTTGGACCCACAGCGCATAGGAGTAACTACAGGACATAGGGAGGCTCAGTGGGGAACAGCCCCGACTGACTCCTGGTTAGGGTACTTTTTGCTGATATGACAATGTTATCTTTGCTGGCTTTTTTTGTCCCTGCTCTTCCCTACCTCACCTGCTCCTCACTCCTTGCCCCCTATTGCCAGTTTCTGTCTTCACCAAGTCAGTAAAGTCTTCCCAGTGACCAAACCCACGGAGGCATCTTTCTCTTCCTGGTCTGCTCTGCTGATATTGCTGCTGGAATCTTTCAGACCCCACGCTGGGACCCCTCATGCTAGCTCTCCTGAGGCCCCCAGCCACTCTTTCTTAGGCTTCTCTGCCCTTCCAGTGGAACTCTCGGTGTTCAGCCTCATCTGTCCTGGGACGAATCCTTGCATCTCTTTCTCTTGGATGGGTGAGTGGTAGTGGCTTCCAATGACGCAGTCAGCCTGGTCAGAGGAGCCTAGCTGGGGAGGTCACTTCAGTGAGGACACCCCTGGACCCAAACTCAGAAGTCACTGGAGATACCTCTGACTCTCCCCAACATGCTGCTGCTCATCCCACCACCCACATATCCCTCTTCATGGATTCTCTCCCCTCCATCACCATAGCCCTTGGCAGGGTGCCCACCACATCTGGCCTGAGTGACAGCCCAGACTTCCTGCAGTCTCCAGCCTCTGCCACCTCCCCAGTGGCAGCCACTGAAATCCTGCTATGTACATGTTCAACTTTTTCTCATTGCTCTCTGGAGAAGGCCCCCTTGATGGTCCTGCATCCCCAGCCCTTGGCTCCAACAGGCATTGCTTTGAGTTTCAGCATCAGAACGTGCCTGGAAATCTTGGCCTGCTGCAGCCTCATCCCCTTGCCTTGAAAGTTCCTCTTTCACCCCTTGCAGGTCTGGTTGGTGCACTCATCCTATCTATCTCACCTCCACCAAGTGTCTCCTCTGAGGCTCTCCAACCTCAGGATGCCCCACTGAGCACTATGGTTAGTAACCCTTTAAAGGTTCCTCTCTCAGGTCCACCACGAAGTTTCCAGTGGATAAAGACCACCTTCACACCCACACAGGGCTTGACTCACCATAGCAAACTGACTTGCTGTTCTCTGAGGCGAAGTAGATGCCCTTGCCAACACGGCCACCAGAATGTGGCATGATGCGGAGCCCACTGGTGAGGACAGCAGCCACCACGGCCACATTGGTGCCATGCCACAGCAGCCTTCGATTACCCAGCTTGGAGTGGGCCTGGAATCTATCTCCCTGGGTGGGGGGAGGGGTGGGAAATAGGAGAGGCCTGCCATGCAAGGACCCAGAAGGTGCCTCTTCTGTTGTTTAGATGGGGTGACCAAGGCCTAGTCCCCTCTGGTCACTCACACTTAGGCTGGCAGAAACTGGTCAGAGTTGCTTAGCCAGCTCACCAAGGGGCAGATAAGCCAAGGTTATCTCTCTAAGGGACAGGGTGGCGACGGGGGAAGGGCTGGGAGACTCTCTTACCTCTTTTTCTCGGTTCACTTTCCAAACGTTTTGCAGAACAGGGCATCTGTGTTTGTTGCCAGTCTGTTTTAAGTAGTTTTGTATCACCTGTGGGAGAGCAGAAGCTGGGTGCCAAGGGTGGGAGACTCGAGGACCCACCCCTCTGATCCCTCGAGTCCCAGAGTTCTCCTTGGGTCTTAAGAACACAGGGAGAGGAGGCTGAAGGCCAGGTCTCCTCTGGGCACCTTGAGGGTAGCTGGGCAGAGGAAGAGGGACGGTGTTCTGTGGGGCCCAACCTACCTTGTAATCAGGAGCCTCGGAGTCCAGCAGCTGAAGATGACACTTGAGGAGCTGGTAGTCCTGGTCCAGAGGATGTGGTACCTCTTCCACTTTCTCCTCCTCCCTAGGAGCTGCCTGCAGGGTCTGGGCCAGCTCGATGTCTGCCAGCACCTAAGATGATAGGCACTGGCAGCTTGTCTGCCCACTGGACCTCCAGCCTCCCCCTCCTCTTCCACATGTCTGTTCCCAAAGCCACCGGACCTGTTGTCCACCTGTCCATCCCTACCCCCCATCTGTCTGGCCTTCCCTTCCCCTGTCCCTCAGCCTGCCCACTGTAGTCCATCCCACTGGACTTTCTCGACTCTTTGACTCCCACATCTCTTTCCCAGTCTGTCTGTTGGTGTCTCTCTCCTGCCTGCCCACCTGCTAACCCTCACCAGCAGCATGTCCTTCTTCGCCTGAAGAAGCTYAAGGGAGTTGATGGGCGGGGGCCGCATGCGACCGAAGTTGTGTGGGAAAACAGTGTAGAAGTGGGAGGACAGTTCCTCCAGGGTTTGGCTACTATCTGTAGGGGCTTTCAAGGCCACCTCCAGTGCCTCCAAGGCCTCAAAACCCCGTGCAATCTGCTGTTTGCTCAATTTTCCTAGGGGCATCTTCTTCATATCTGGGGGAATGGGAGAATGGGGGGACTCAGCCTGGCAGCCCTGCCATCCCAGGGTTCTGCTACCCTGCATGACCCCTCATCCTCACCCAGGTTCATGAGGGTCATGGCATTCTTGAACATCTCCTTGCTGAAGATGTTGGTGATGAGCTTCTGGGTTGCAGGGTCCAGGGAGCAGAGTTTCACTTGCTTAGTCACAATCCTCAGTGGGCCTCCATCCACCTGAGGACAGAGGGCCCCGTTAGTCAGGAGCAGCTGCCCTTGGAGCAGGGCATGGCATTAGACAGAGACTGGCCAGACACAGAGGCCAGAGAGGGAGGTTGGTGCCTGAGGTTGCATAGTTGGAAAGTGACAAAGCCCCACAGCTGGTCCAACCAGTCTCCTTCCTCTACCCAGAGCCCACCCACCCATCTCAGCCTCTTTACCTTCGCCTCCGGAGTCTCGTCCTCTCCYTGTACTTCGATAAGCGTGTACTTGCCAGGGTGGGCCACAAAGTGGTCTCGCTCTGCCCAGTTGTTCTTAGTCTTCTCCCGAAATTTCTTCTCAAAGTCCTTTTTGGCATCTTCTAGGCAGGTGAAGTATTTGATCTTTGACTGGCCCACCTCTCCCTGCAAGTGACAACCTTCAGGGGTGTGTCCACCATAAATGTTTGCTCTCCTCTATGTTAAGCCAGGCCTTGTGCTAAATACCCCTGGAGCCTTGGAGGTGAAGGGAGACAGTCAGCAGCTGTGGCCTTCTGGGGACCCTGGGGAGCATGTGTTGATCAGGAAGAGATGGGGACGAAGGGACACTTACCACCCGGCCCCAGCGGTTCCAGCAGAAAAACTTGCCACCCTCTTCCAGTAGCTGGATGATGTAGAACTTATTGTTGTTTTTTCCAATGTTGGTCTGGTTCAGGGTGCAGTCATAGTCTTCATGCACCTGAGCAGAGGCAAGTGGAGGGGGGTGCTGTCTGGGGCTGGATGGGGTGCCTGGTTGAACACCAAGAGGGGTCTGATGAGAACAGGAGTCTGATTGCTTTGGGGCATCAGAGGCAGCCTTGTCCTGGAGCTGGAGGAACCATGTCTCTGCATTCAGGGATGCTCTTTGAAAACACATGGCTAAGCCCTGGCATGGGGGTGGGGAGTTCTGGAAGGACATAGCTCTGCCCCAGGTAGCAGAGTTCAAGGGGGACATGGCTCTGCTCTGAGGGCTGATTTGAGGGGATATGGGTGAGTCCTTGGAACATGGAAGGAGTCAGAGCCCTTTCTTGAGTGTGGTGGGGGAAGCCTCCTGGAGGTCTGATGGGCAGACATTGACCTCTCTTGACCTAATGGGATACAGCCCTGACCTCTGTGGTCTTGGGAAAATGTAGCTTTGCTCTGAAACTTACTTGGGCCTTGAGTTACCTGGCCAGAGCTCAGCTCCCAAGGAGGAGGGGTGTAATTGTATTTAGAAGGGAGCAGGCTCCAGTTGACTAGGGATGTAGCTCACCTGGGTCCCGGCGTTGCTGCTGAGTGTACAAGTGGGGTCCACGCGGATTACAYGCTTCTCTTTGGGTGCAGCCCTGAGGGCCTCAGCCACGGAGCAGAAGTTGTCTTCCTCTCCTGTTCCTTGGGGTCCCTTCTTCTTCACAGCCTTTTGTTTTGGAGCCATGGTTGTCTTGGAGCACAGGAGGTCTTTAGGCTTCCATGGTCTCTGTCCGCTACCCAACCTCACAGCACAGACTGGCCCACCATGACCTCCCCACTACCTATATTTCTAGTCTGGACCCAAACCAGCTCTCTGGGCCTCACACATGCCCCTTCCTTCAGTTATAAGAACAAGGTCAGGACTTGTCCAGTTTGCTTGCTCTGGCCAAGGAACAGGTTGGTTTCCTACTCTCTCTAGTTCTTCAGTAAGTCCTGAGGTTGTACAGAGAGTGAAAGGAGAATCTCCCCCTCCCACTTGTGGGCTCCACCCTGTTCAGAACACTCCTTCCTGTCAGCAGGCTAGACTTGGCATGGTTGCTGGGCTGAGTCACTGAGCTATGGGGGAGGGTGGGCAGCGGCAGCTGGAGGATGGACAGCACTCCTTGGATCAAACCTCTCTCTAGAGCTTGAGCCCCATTGATGCAGAAGCCTTTTCTTAACATACTTAAAGAGTTCTGGGCTGGGCACAGAGGCACACACCTGTAGTTCCAGCAGCTCTGGAGAGGCTGAGACAGGAGGATCATAAGTTCAAAGCCAGCCTCGGCAAAGAGCAAGGCACTAAGCAACTCAGTGAGACCCTGTCTCTAAATAAAATACAAAATAGGACTGAGGATGTGGCTCAGTGGTTGAGTGTCCCTGGGTTCAATCCCCAGTACCAAAAAAAAAAAAAAAGAGTTCTGGGGTGCCACCCAAAGTCTAGATCAGTGGCTCTGAATTACCAAGGATCAGGGGCCAGTTCTACCCACCCTGTCCTGCCCTACCCTGCAGAGGATACTCACCGAAGACAAACAGGAACCTGGGAGAAGTGGCTGCCACCAAGCCTGGTATTAGGAACACTTTGTGAACTTCCCTCGGCAGTCTCAGCAACCCTCTGTGGACCTTAGGTTTGACTTATGGAGGGACTTCCCAGCAATCACCAGGAAGGGGGGAAGTAGGGTGGTGTACGATTCCAGGGCCACCAGTGGTATGAGTCAGAGGCTGGGCAGGCTGAAGTCGGTGGCCTGTCCCACGGATGAAGGGGACACTGATATGGACCCATCCAAGGCCCAAGAGACTGGCACGCTCTTAACGCTGCTCGTCCAGCCTGGGGCATGCAGCACATATCGACCAGTTTGCCCATTGTCTTGGTCCGGGGTATGGGCAATGCCTTCCACCGCCTGGATAGCCCCCTGTTTTCTAGAGCCAAGCTAGTTCACTCTTGCCTCCACACTCGAAGGGGAGGAGTCACGCAGAAACCCGCATCTCTGGCGCCCCCCAGCGACCACGGGGCGCAAGCGCAGAGGAGGCCTTCTTGGCCCAACCCCTCCTATAAATCAGACAGCAGCAGAGCGCAAGCGCCACAGCCGCTGGCCGGAAGCGCCGGGAGAGTTGCTTCCTGCGGTAGCCCAACGCCTGAGCCTATGGAGTCTCTGGGAGGCGTAGCCACGAGCCTCTGTCCTATGGACATTTGGGGGCGTGACAGAACCCTCGGGTGGACCCAATGAAGTTGCGGGAGGCGGGACTCGACGGGCGGCAGAAACCTGTCATGGCGCGGGGACTTGCCGTGCAGCCGGGGGTTTAGTTGCCACGTGAACTTTCCAGCAGCGTCTGCAACTCTTTGCAGCATGTCGGCCACCGCGGCAGCTCGTAAGCCTGGAAAGCAGGCCTCCCGGGCCGGGGCCGCTGCAGAGCCCAGCAAGCGGCGACGAAAGGTGATCATGGGGTTTCCGTGGGTCGTGGTCAGTGTTACTTCTGAGACACGGATCATGCATTCGAAGGACCCGAACCAGGCTCCTTCCCCAGCCCTTAGCCTAAGACCCCAGCTGGAGCCAGCTTCGTCCCTTTCTCTGTTAGACAAATCCCGGAAAGCCTTGCGCTTGACCCAGGCCAGGAGCTGCAGCCTTTCGCAGTCCTGGGACTCTTGAGGGCCCACAGGGGCTCTTGGTCAGTGCAGGGTGGCGGGAGACCTCTGGCCAAAGAAATGGTCCTATCTTCTAGGCCAACTCTGCGGGGGACAGGAAGAAGCTCAAGGATGGCGGCAAGATGAATGAGGAGATCTCTAGCGACTCTGAGGCTGAGAGGTAAGCTGTTCTTAGTGGAAAGGGAAACAGACTTATCCTGAATGGAAGACTAAGTGAATCCGGGCAGAGCTGGGCCGAGGACCCACGACTTCAGGCCATGGCTTTTAGATCGTGGCTTTTCCCTCTGTAATTTTGGCCCTGAGACGTCTCACCTCTACTGCGGTACCTCTGTGCAGAGACCCCAATGGGATACCATTGAGAACTCCTGGGCTCAAGACAGGCCGCTAAGCACAGGGCTGGACTGACAGGCAAAGGGAGAAGAATTCAAGGCAAACTTGTTAGTTCGCTGTTTTCTCACAGCGTTATCATTTCTGGTCTTTATTCTTTTGATTTAAGATGGGTTTCACTATGTTGCTCAGGGAGGCTTCAACCTACTGGGCTCAAGTGATCCTCCTGCCTYKGTATCCTGGATAGCTGGGACTATTGGCACGTTGTGCTYTCCCACAAGTCTTTTTGACATGCTAGGCAGTGGCTTCAATGAGAGCAGGCAGGTGAAGAGAATGTGTTCTAGTGAGACATACATACATCTTCCAGTGGTGTGTAAATAGGGCCTGAGAGATGAGGAGGAGTTTTATGGAGACATAGGGAGGGCATTCAGGGATCAGAAAAAAGTCGGGGAGGGTAAGTGTGCCAGAATGGGAGGGGAAAAAATGGAAAGGCAGGTGGTGGGTGCATCCAGAATGTGGAGGGCTTTGAATGCTTCCCTCATTTCTCTGGGTGATGGGGTGGTAGCAGGGTCTCAAAGAGCAGGCAAGGCATTTTTTCCTACTAGGTGGAGGCTTTCATTTCAGGGAATCCTAGTGCCTTCCTATGAGTTTGATACAGAAATTCTGCTTCTAAAATTGAGTATGTGTTGCATTAAGTTGCCCACAGAAAGACTTAATATGTTTTCTTAGTCCTAAGGTTAGTTTTAGTGTACATGTGTGTACAAGTGCAAGTGTGTATGTATACATCAGGCCCTGTGCTAAGCACTTGTAGGTACTTAAAATGTTTTATTATGAAATACATCATCTACAAAGAGTGAATGGACTATATGGCTGGGGAGGTAGCTCGGTGGCAAAGCACTTACCTAGCATGCACAAAGTCCTGGGTTTGAGTACCAGCACTGCAAAACAAAAACAAAAGCATATTTGTATATGAAAAGTAAAGATAAAATGGTGAACCTCTGCTCACGTTCCACTTAGGTTAAGAACTAGAACTATTATTCCTCATTCCAGTTAATCATTTCTTTGGTTTCTTTCTTTCTTTCTTTTTTTGGCAGTACTGGGGATTGAGCCCAGGGCCTCACACATGATGGACAGATACTCTTTCACTGAGCTACATCCCTACACCTTTCTTAATTTTATTTAAGGCAGGGTCTCACTAAGTTGCCCAGGTTGACTTTGAACTTGCCATCCTCCTACATTAGCTTTCTGAGTAGCTGGGACTACAGGAGTGGCCATCATGTGTAGCTTAAGAATCTTTTAAAAGGCCTGGCACAGTGGTGCATGCCTGTAATCCCAGTGACTTTGTAGGCTGAGGCAGGTGGATTGCAAGTTTGAAGCCAGCCTCAGCAACTTAGTGAGGTCCTGAAAAACTTAGCAAGACCCTGTCTCAAAAAAAAAAAAAAAAAAAGTTGGGGATGTAGCTCAGTGGTAGGGCACCCCAGGATTCAATTCCCAGTACCAAAAGAAAAAATAATCTTCAAAAATTTTTTTCTCATTCAGCTATAATTTATATACTGTGACATTCAACTTTTTTAGTTTATAGTTCTGTAAATTCTGACAAGCACAGAGTTGTATAGCTACTATCACTATGAAGAAATAGAAGGTCTCCTCAACCCCATCAAACTCCTGCTGCTACCACCCCCCGGCCCTGACAACCACTGTCTCTAAGTTGCCCTTTCYAGAATGCCTTATGAATGGAATCACATAGTGCATATGCCCTTGCTTTCCTTTAGAGTTCTATCTCCTGTGTATTAATTCTTAAACAACAATTGATTGTTAAATAGAAGCTCAATTCTGGATATGTAAGGAAGGGGCCTGGTCTGGCCTTGGCTTTCCTGAGGGTGAGGTCACGAGTGAGTCCTAGGAAACACAATTTGAGTACCTGACAGAGACTCGGTATCTGCAGGTATATGATTACAAGGGATGGGTTCCTCTGGATTTTCTGTTTTGGAGTTCCTGTGACCTAACTTCATCTCCCAGGAGCAGGTCAAAGCAGGACCCATCTTTGAAAGAAATGAATGCCTTCAGTTCAGTTGGTTCAGGGTCTGGAGCTTAGGAGGGACAGCAGGAACTTGATCAGCACAAGGCCAAGCCAGATCCAGTTAGTATTCACCAGAGGTTGTGCTCATGGTGCAGGATGGTGTCATGGCAGTGAGTCTAGAGTAATGACAATTCCTGTGTGTCTGCTTGGGTCCTTGTGTCAGATTGGACTGGTTTCTCCCCATGTTTGGGGTGATTGTCACCTTGGGAATCTGCCTTTTCTATTCTCTGTGTTGATCTGTTGTTTCTTGTACACCATGTCATCATCCTTCTTAGATTACCCTCTTGTTTGGGAAGTGCATTCTTTACCCTTCCTAAAAAAAGGAGAAAGATTCTATGTCATATTGTTCATCTGACAATGTTTTTGAACCTAGATAGCCTTGTACATGCCAGACAAGAGTCCTATACAACTTAGCTACACTTCCAGCCCTTTTAATTTTTTCCTTTGAGTCAAGATATGACTAAATTGTCAAGGCTGGATTTGCAACTTGCCCCCCCCCCCCTTTTTAAGTACTGGGGATTGAACCCAGGGATACTTAACTACATCCCCTACATCCCCAGCCCTTTTTATTTTCTATTTTGAGATAGGGTCTCATTAAGTTGCTTAGGACCTTGCTAAGTTGCTGAGGCTGTCCTTGACCTTGCAATCCTCCTGCCTCAGCCTCCCAAATTGCTGGGATTATAGGTATGTGCTACTGCACCTGGCTCCTGGCGATATCCTGATTTGTCAATTGGTGCCTTAACTGGACAGGGGATCCCAGGGGTTGGCTCACCCTTCCTCCCTTCCTCCCTTCCTCCCTTCCTTCCTTCCTTCCTTCCTTCCTTCCTTCCTTCCTTCCTTCCTTCCTTCTTTCCTTTTGAACCCAAGGCTATGCACATGCTAAGTAAATGCTTTATCATTGAGCTAGACCACAACCCTTTTTAAAATTTTTGAGACAGGGTCTTGCTAAGTTATCCAGGCTGTGTCTTTGCTCAGCCTCCCAAGTTGGGATTATAGATGTGTACCACTGTGCCCAGTYAGGGACTGACATTTTCATTCTGAGCTTTGTGTATAAGTCTCCTTTGTCTTGTTCTCAACATTGCTGTTGAAATGTCTGAAGCCATTTTTGATTTCTTGACCCTTTTTCTTAGAAGCCTATAGAACCTTCTCTTTCCCTAGAGTTGAGAGATTTGAGTGATCTCTTTGGATTTTGGGTAATTTTACCTTTGCAGGGCCCTATGTATTTTAGTTTGGTAAGTCATATTCTTCAGTTTTTAGCATGTGTAGTTGCTGGTCCTGAGGGCTTCTAGGGATGTGGAAGGTTGAATGGCAGGAGGGCATTAAGAAGGCACAGTCGTAATGACCAGAAGAGTGATGTGAGCTCTTCAGACCCAGCCTCCTCTGCCCACAGCCCAGCTCAAGGGAAGATTGAGGAGGAAGAAGAGGAGGAGCTGGAGGAAACTGTGCAAGAGAAGAAGCTGCGCTTGGCCAAACTCTACCTTGAGCAGCTCAGGCAGCAAGGTGAGCCATGGGCAGGCCAGCCAAAGGCCAGGGACTCTGCTGAAGCCTTCCTCCTGTCCCTGCTATAGCCTCAGCTACCTGACATGCGACTGACACAGTTGCTCAGTGGCTGCCAAGRCTTGCCAGTGTTGGCTGCCTTGTGAGCGTGGCTGAGAGCTCCAGTGGTCCTCCAGGGGYAGGCTAGACCTGCAGGGGGCTTTAGACTGATCTGATAAGTTAGGAGGAGATTGTCCAAACTTGCATCCACTCTGTGGAGGTGGACCGAACTTCCCACTGGACATAGACCAAGCATTTAGGGCCCAACCCTGGAGTGGAGCTGTGGAGGTGGAAATGGAAAGGGAAAAGAAGGACCTTAGCCCTAGTTTATGTGAATCGATC